CAATGACATTGCTAGCCAGATCACTTGTTCTTGTAGCTATGTCATCTGCATCGACTGTTGTACAGTTTGGGTTCAAAGAATATCGAGAATTTGTGCAAAATGGAGTCAAACTCTACAGCAAAGCCTGTTCATTTTGCGCAACTCGTAAGCATTTTTGTACGAATATTTTAGGCTGTATTTACAATATTAGGAAGGCTCCTGCATTTCTTATTCAACGTATTAAATTATCGAAAATGATATTTGAAGGTGGAAATTTGAGCGACAAATCCGGGCCTGCTTGCCCAGCAAGACCGACCGCCATCTTGTTTTCGCGTGGACGGTCGCAAAAAGAAAGATGGTGGCCTCCATACATTGCGAAAAAGTTTTGTTTTTCTGCGTGAATCTGGAAGCGAATTCGCTGCTTCTTTTAGACTTCCTAAATTAAGATAAAACTACTTTTGAATTCTTAGAGGGTATTTTCAAGTTGTTGAATCTTTGTTGACGCTAGTTGTATGTGTTGACGCTAAATAGCACGACTGTTATTTTACGCCTGTCAAAATTTAAGAAGTAGTTAATGATGAAGATGAGGAAAGTAGAAACTATTATTCTTTTTTAAAAGATTTCACTTTTATTAACGTCTAATAGCCCCTCCACAACTTGGCAATGTTTGTCTGGAACAGCATGACTTACATGACTTAAGTTAATGATACTCAAAGCAGTGTTTGTGCTCATTTTTTTGCAGGAGTTTCTGATATCGAATTTGTGCATATTTAGTCAATTCTTTGTTTGAGATTGATTTTTATCAAGGATTTTGTTCATGTGAATCTTTTTTTTGGGGGGGGTATGAATTCAGTGAATTATCTCCCCAAATTTTCTCTTGAAATGTTACATCGGTCATCAGAGAGTGATAATATGTCCCAGAAAGTGAAATTAAATGAAGGAAATTCCAGAGAGTAAATTTATAATTAAATTTTTTTGTGAGTTTTGAAAACTAAAAATCTTGAAAATGACCCGTTGTTATCCACTGCATTTTTTAAACATCTCATTGAATAGTCTTGCTGTTGCTGCCACCTCAGGATTGTTGAAATAAATGATCTTTTCAAAGCCATGTGATGTGATGAGAATGCTTAGTATGCATGCTTATTTTGGCATTCTGATACATGTGTTTGTCAAGCACTGCTGGCTGACGTAAACACACTGCTTTGGGTAAGCTATTGCAGACAATACATGTAATAAAATAAAGTTGCAGATTTTTAATAATCTGTTCATACTAATTTGAATGCATTTTAACACAAAATTTCTGGCAACTTCAAAGTTCAAGTACATACGTGTAACAGTGCTAGGAATTGCAAGTACTCGGATTTGTACTTGGAATTAGAAGCCTAGTACTCGTACTCGGAGTTAGAAATACTTGTACTCGTACTTGGAAGTGCAAGTACTTGCACTCGGAAACCAGTACTTGTACTTGGCTGGCAATGTACTCGACCTATCTTTGTACTCTGCAGTCAAAGTACTCGGCAGTACTTGGTACTCGGAAAAAAGTACTCGACTACAACACTGCTCATTGATTTCTAAAAGTCCCCAACTCTTCTGGGTCATTGCTCAGGTACATGTAAGACAACCGAGTTGGCCCACCGTGAGTAAAGGTAAAATACCACCTAAATAAGCCACTTCAGTGAAACACTCGTCTGCCTATCTGAAGCATCGGATTCATACATGTAAGGTCACCAGCTTAAACATCGCGCAGCCAGCACTGGTGCAGTGGTTCTACGACCCAACTCACCATACTCTTCCTTTGCGGACGTCTCAGAAATTTTAACGGATATTCATCCAATAGCAAAAATTTTTACGTGCCGTGTGGAAACCAATTGACCTATTGAAACGGTCGTTATATATATGTGGCCAATTCCAGCCCTATTACTCCATGTAAAATTTAACGATGTTAACTCATTTATTAACAAACAAATAATTTTTGGGGGAAAGTTCCACCTGTCATTGAAAATACTTTATAAAATGTGGTGCAGTGGAATTTAAGGGAGGAGGGAACATTTCAAAACAAAAGTAGACGAGGTTGCCAGAATGGAGAATTTCGGAGGGGCAATGGGAATGGTGTTGGGGTAAAAACCAAAAACAGAATCGTCTGCTGACCCGAGCGAAAAGCAGCATATAAAATATACATAATCATTGTTCATGATTTCAGTTGCATTCCGTAGTTGTGTGCCTGCCGTTTGCGTTGCTCACCGTTTGCAAAGTTTTCGCAGATCGTTTGCGTATCTTCGCAAACGGGGCTTCAGAAATTGTGATTGTAGGCTCTCCCCATAGACGGCCGCCGAATATTCGCGAGTCGGTAGCTATCTTCACGAAGGAAAAGGACTCCCCACAAAAGTAATTTTTCAAGAAAAGCGCCCTGTTTGCGAATAATTATATGCGTTAAATTCTTTATGAATAGTGAAGATATTTTCGATCGGTAGGGTACATGTACATTGTACACACAAACTTTGATTCATGACTGCATTAATCAGAACTGGCAATCTGTCTGTATGTCAATGCAACAGTAGGCCTTTTCACCTGTTAATTTCCTTGCTTTGTTGTACAGCAGTTTCCTTTAACATTGGTACCCATGCCTCTTGTAACTGCAGTTACATTGAATTTCAATGCTCAGAACTAACATGGAGAACAGATTTATCTCTAGCTTTCACTCCAGCAGTAGTATGAAGGACACCTACATGTACATATATAATACCTGTACTTGTATACACACAAAGCAAAATAAGGAAATTCAACTATTCCATGTAATCAGCTTAAAGTACATCGACATGCATAAATAACCATAGGTCTACATTCGAATTTCATACGTTTTCGGATATTTTCACATGTACCATGAACCCCTAATAATATGGTTTGTCCGGTGGGGCATAGTTATAAAATACGGTATGCACCATGAAGGACTTTAGTCAGTTCAAAACCTATGTTCAGCGCAATTGTGAAACTTGCAAATGTACGTACATGTGTATGTACTGAGCTCCATCCTGATTTGATTTGCCCTTTAATAAAATCATTCATACTAAAACCATTGATTAATGTACACAGAAGAGGGTTAATGAATATGTGGAAGTGAATCACCGGATTATGCTGAACATGTAGGATTTACATAATTACTTTTAATGGCCTTTTTCATCATTTGAACATAAGGTGACCATACAGAAAAGTTAAAAGAAGGCCATTTGTAGAGTTCAAGTTTCTCGAGATACATGTATGTCAGCTAATTCAGAGCTAATTTGAGTCAATTCTCTTCTCCTAACATCACTCTCCAGAGCTACATAGCACAGAAAGTGCAGACAAAAAGTTGTAATACGTATACTTTTGCCTACCAGAACCAGTTCCAGCACTTCATCCATCCAGCTTCCAAACCCAGCTGCCCGCAGCACTGCGTGTAGGTGTTGGGCCTGGTGCACCCTTGCTCACGATCATTGTGATCATACCTATTTAGTGTCAAGACCTTCTGCAATTTCTTGCGCCGGTGCATGAAATTGATTTCAGTTCAGCTTGTATGGGATTACCTTGGAATCCTGTCCTCTGAGCAACCGAAGTCCATTAAGAACTCAATTGGTGTAATTTCAGGTCCGACAAGTCCCACAAGGTCCCAAGAAAACACAAGGGGCAATGTCCCAACAGACAACTTGTCTCAACGGTCGACTTGTCCGTCCTTTTACGCACGGACGGTCAAGTTGTGTCAACGCTACAATGGTCGAGTTGTCCGAAGTCGAGTTGGCAAACAGTCGAGTTAGCCGGACCCCAAAAATATCGTCCTGATTAAATCCATGTGTTGACGCAAGACCACACAAATGGTCGATACATGCACGGGCAATTTGAGTATGCAAATTGGTTGAGGCCTGAAACATTAAATCTCAGAGTTCATTCCCCTCGATATTACGCACATTTTTTCACAACCTTCTAGCCAAATTATCTAGAAATGCAATAAGACTGTGCGACAATGCTAACATCGTCCAGTCACAAAAGCCAGCTGATCACGCAACGGACATGTGTAAGCCCTACAGCAAAACTGTACATAAAGCCATTGGGTTTCACAATGTGTACAAAGTCAATGCTTCTACATTCATCTATGCTGATTGTTATTGCTAATCCAAGTTTATTTTCTGAAGCGGTCAAAATCTATGCCATTCTGGAAGTTAAAAAACGTGTACAAAACCTATGGGGAAAATAAATACTCAAAATTCAATAAAAAAATCAGATGATGACATCATCGTGACGTCACGCTTTGCGGCACATCTTTGCCACAGGGTCTTTGCTTGAGGCAACTTTGATGGAGACTGACCCTTGCAAAGAGACTAAAGTGCGGCAGAAAAACTGTGTACAAAGGAATGGGAACAAGGAGAAAAAGAAAAAAAAACCTCGACAAAAAGAATCCCTTTTAAGCCCCCCCAAAAAAACAAGAATACATTTTTCGCAAAGTTGCGAAAAAGCCAAAAACAGAACAGAAGTAATGCTTTTTTTTTCAAAATTGCACCAAAAAAATAAAAATCTTGACAAATGAATGCCTTTTTTGCAAAATGCAAAAAAGCCAAACATAAAAGATGAACAAAAGAATGCCTTTTTCTCAAAATGCAAGAAAGCCAAAACAAACAGAATGCTGTTTTTGCAAAATTGCAAAAAAACAACAACAAAAACAAACTAACGAAAAGAATGCCTTTTTCGCAAAATGCAAATAAGCCAAAAAGAACAAAAAGAATGAATTTTTCGCAAAATTGGAAAAAGCCAAGAAAAAAAAACTTTAACGAAAACAAGAGCTGGTTCGGCAACAATGCCAAAACAGTTAATTAAAGGTCAAGCCAGGAAATGAAGCTTTTCCTTAAACTCTTTAATTATCTTCATTCGTAGATGTTATACATCTCTGAAAGAGTCTTGTAGCAAATTGTACACATTTGCATTTTATGGCAGATGCAGATTTTTTTACTACACAAAAAATACATGTACATGCCCATGTACAGTAGCCAACTTACCGGCAATGGGGACATTGGTATCGCTGTTCGGTAAGCCATCTCTGAAGGAAGAAAAAAAAGTTTGATTTATTAAGTCATTTGAGATAACCTCAGTATGAAGTAAATCTATACTGCTCATTCTACTTCCTGGATTTATTACTGGTGTACACATAATCTTTTCAATTAGAGATTGTGCCTGCAAATGGAAAACCACAGAGCTGTTTCTGAAATGTTTTGATGTTCTATAGCTGAATGAGTAAAAAATTCTCTGTCTTTAAAACACAAAATTGAGTTCAAATACCGGCTTACATGTGGACCTGCAAGAGACAAAAACCTGGTGGCGAAACACGCACCATGTGGTACTTCATCATGTTACAATGCAGTGTGTCTTCAGAAAGGAGGGTCATAGGTCCGACAGGCCATTATGGCCATTGGCACTCCAGGGCATTTTGCATGTGTGTGCCACAGAAAAGTAGTGCCATACATGTACATGTACATGCACTACCAGTATACCAAGCAAGATATGGGATGGACATGTACCCTACTACATATCCAATCCCTGCACACCCTACAGTATTGTTACATGTACCTAACGCATGCCCCGAGATGTCTGAAAAGAATTCCTGAGATTCCTATCAAACAATGATTCACACAAAGGTGGGTGGTGCTCTCTGTCCCATATCTTGCTTCATATGACTTTAGTTCAAAATAATGTTCAAGTGAACATACTGAAATTGTAGCATCTGTGTTTGGGTTGCAAAACTTATTAAAACTGAAAGAAAAAAATTTACTTCAATATTTGAAACAAAATAAAACTTGTAACTGTCTTAAGAAAGATGTCCAGAAATTGCGCTCATAATTGAACAATGGGTCGATCATCAATGTGTACATTACAACAAAATGTCAATGAATTCCCCAGGCATTGAGTCTTTCGTCGCAATAAAGGATGAATTTCTTCCAGCACAGTCTCCATGTGAATGAAAGGTTACACTTCAGTTCAGATCACTGCAAATGCGTGACTAGTATTTTAACCTTAGAACTTCTGAACTGCACTGAAATCACTGTATGTCGAGATATTCTGGCTGGAGAAAGGCGGAGCAGTGCTTCACGACTTTCCCCACCACCTGAAGGGTCTCCTACAGACAAATGCACCACCTACATGGATATTTACCCATCTCGGTTCAAATGACTTTGGCCGATTCAATGCTAGGTCATGCAGGAAGGCAATAAAAAAATGCTTTTGCACATTGCGGTTACTCCTACCACTGTGTAGCATAACTTGGTCTGAAATCCTTCTGAGGGTTGTGTACCGAGGATGGCTCAAACAGAACTCATTACAAAGAGCCCTCGATGGGGTCAGAAAATCACTGAACTCATTTGCGAGATGCCAGTTAAATAAGCTTGACAACACATCTCTTATAACCCACCCAGGGATCACAGCATCCCAGCAAAGTTTGTTCTTGATTGATGGGGTGCATTTATCAAATGAAGATTCAGATAAACTAATTGCTGATTTAAAACCGCCATTCAGAATGTAGGGTCAGTACAATGAGTCCCAAAATATTCAGGCCTCCTGTAAATTTTAAACGTCTGTCAGATAAAGCCGTTTTTTGTTGTTTTTGTTTTGTTTTGGCCCATCCACTTGTTCCTTGAGCCAAATAAGGAAGGCCCAAATTAGACATCGTACAAATCAGAAAAACTTAGGTAAGATTGTATATGTTAAGGAGACACATGTAGTTAGATGTTTGTTTCTATTAAAGTCATACCCTGATTGAGCACGCTCTAAGTGAGAGCTTAGCAAAGTAGCCTGTCAGAAATTGTTATGAGTACTATTATTGTCATATCATTAAGAAACATTATTGTTAAGTGACTAGAAGAAATACATTGTTGAATCAAAAGCTTTGGGGTGATGCACGTTGTAGTTTATGGAGCTGTGGAACAAGCTCAAAGGTGAAGCTGAGCAAAGAATTGAGTTTGAGAATTGTTAGGAGCACTATCATCATCTTAGCATTTGACCTAAGGTCTGCATGAAGACTTTAGTTTTGGCATCAACATGTAAAAGATTTAGTGATGGAAGTTTAAATACTGCACGGGTGAAAGGCTATAAGCTCAATGTTGGAGCTTAATAAAGGGGGCAGTTGACAATTGTATGGTATTATCGTTGAGCTCGTAGCATTGTTCCACGACAAACAGAAAGACGTTGTCTGTTAAATTAATCAGTTTGGAGCGATAAGAGTGTTATTATGAAGATGTAAGGAGTCAAAGTTAAGGCATCAAGAGTAAAAGTTGGATATACATTAAGTGGAATTAAAAAGCGACCAAGTGTTGAATGCTTTTATAATGGAGATTTTTACTGTGTGGTTCTCACCCAAGGCACCATGTGACCTTTAAATGTGGTCTCCACAAATCGCTGCTACTCATCAAGCAATTCAGTTTGTTTTTGAAGTTTTTGACAGATAACGGCATGGCAATGTGAAAGGCTGAAGTGGTCGGTAGTATTCAGGCCACAAAAACACTCTGGATGGGGTTTGGATGGTTTAAGCTCAAGGATGGGGGTGGCATTGCCAAGTTTTGGGAGTTCACTCGCGGGCCAGCGGAAAGGGATGAGCAACTATTGCTGGGGGCACTGGTTTGTGTCCACAGGTTGGTATTTCAGGTTTGCAGTCACCCCCTCCTTGGACTCTTGTATTGCTTGTTTAGCATATTGCTGCTAATTCTTATTGTTGTGACCAAATTGTGTATTATTGTTGTATTGCACCAAAAAAAAATTGGGTGATGACGTCATCATGACGTCGTCTGTTTAGAATGTTTCTTATATAAGGCTCTTTGTTGCCTAAGTTTCCAAAATGGTGGCTTGAGAACATGTACAAAGTCAAAGGGCTAAAAACACATATACAGAAAAACTGTTCCTTTAAGTGCATGTCACTTGATTTGTGCTTAAACTGAAAGATTGTATGGAATATTACTTGATGTTCTGATTCTTGAGTATTTCAAATCAAATAACAGGATGTAAAATATACTATTTCTTTTATGCTCTCAGTAATTTTGAGCCAAAGTTGAGGATTACTCGCTCGTTAGTGTTAAGTAGAAAAATGTGTACAAACCTTATGGCAAAATATTAAATATTGTTGCGCACCCGCAAATCTTGGAATCCTAGCGCCCCCTCGTTTTACTCGTTTTCGGTCCTTGCATTTGTCAGGGTCTCTTATTTAGCTCAGCTATGCATTATGGACATGTAGCAGAGACGCTAATTTTGTATTAAGTTATTCATGCTGTACTCTGGGCGTGATCCTTCACTCCTTTATCCATGTGTTTTCTCTGCTCAGTTTTAGTATGTCGAAATTCCCCTCCACGTGGCTGCGTGGTTGGGTGTGGTAAGGTTCCCTGAAATGCTAATGTTCAGAAACCTCAGACTTTGTAACTGTCAATCATTCGCCACAGATGACCAGGTAAGCACTTTCACGCACCCGGCTCTACACACTGTACACATGACTTCTTATTCTGTATTTTACCTTTTTACACACGACCCTTAGTTTCTTGCACACGACTCAAGCAGGAAGTCATGTGACCCTTTGAGATGGAAGATTTTTATTGGTTGAGATGTTCAGCGACGCTCATATTTTATTGGTTCCTAAGCCTCTAGAATCCTATAAATAGTGCGGATTTTCCCGAGCTCGTCGGTCAGGTGCGGCGGACCAAACCCTAGTTGCGAGAGCGGAACCTAACGTAGTGCGGTGAATAGACCCTTTCCGAGAGAAGTGCGATAGTAACCATTCTTATGGCGAAGAAATGTAATCATATGAATGAGCAGCTAGCTTAGCTTAGACCAATGCGAGAGCGGTACGAATTAGCCCAGGGTGCTAGTGAGAGTCGTAGCGGCCCATCACCGCTACGTCCGAACCAATTGCCAGGCGACACACCCCTGGGTCTCTCGCCACCCTTGGCTTATTGCATAATTCTGGGTTCTCATAATTCTTTTATTGCATAAACGATAAAAGTTTTCTCTGAAAAAGCATGAGGGCGCCCTTTGGCTTTTCTGGTTTTGCTATAATGTGGGTACAGCAGTGAATGATCATGTGACTGGGCTGTAGTGTTTGTGTTCGCGAGTTGCTTCGATATGATGTGTCCTTATGCAAATTGCTTCATTTTTAGGCCGATGGAATTGCATTTTCCAGCGTTCCTTTTGCTTCCCTTTGTGGGAAAGGCGGCAAGCCTGACTTTTGGAAATCAGGTGCTAGCAGTTGCATCAAAAAAATTTCTCCCACCTCCCTGCCACCACCATTTTTAAGTCTTTCGGTCTTGGGCAATAAAATTGGCATTGGAGAATGACTCATCGTATCAACTGATGTCAATTTCTCAATTCAGGTTACACCACAATAGTAAAATGCAGAGACGGGAAAGAGCAATTTTTGGACAAACAAACTTTTCCCATAAGGGATGAGATCAAAAATAAATTGACCATTCGCATGCATTCACACTGATTCCTTGCTGTTCTGCATGCCTTCCCATTCTCCCCCGTTCTGAAGGGCCTTCCTACATGTACACCGCTTTTCTGGCATGAGTCATTGAGAGAGTATTGTTATGTTAATTGGCCATTCCTTTGCATGTGAGAACGGCAACATCACTACAAATTGCAAAGAACAAACAAGCTGTTCCTGAGTCTGTTGTTGGTCCTAAAAGTGTTGATGGGGTTTGGTCTGATAAGATTTATTCCTCCCTCTCACGAACACGCATGCTAACCCTTTGATGTACCAACTTTTTTATATTCTTGCTTAACATGTTTCCACGGATAACTATAAACAAAAACTTGCCTGGGCAAGTTCTACTGTCCAAGGATAAGTTAATATTTTGGCAGACTGTATGCTGTATAAAGTAAAAGTATTAACATGGTTGGCATCAGGTTGAACAAAAGTGCAAACCCTGAGAGGTCCAGATTTCAATAAAGATGTACATGTATACATGAAAGATTAATATTTTTGGCAGTTTGAATACATGTACATGTTCCAGTGTGGGGGAAAAAAACCATGTGGTCCAGGTTTGCCATGAGATGGGGAGTATCGGGTCAGGGGGGCATAATATTATTGATGGGTTCATTAGGAATAAAAATAATAAGACTACGTGAAGGTCCAGCTTTTGAAAAAGATCAAATGCTGAGATGAGAAGGAACAACTTTTTTACAAATTTGTAGCTCAGAAAAATAATGATTTTCCAGTGGGGCATGGGAAACAATAAAAGGCCACAGGTGGTCAAGGTTTGGATAGAGTTGAAATACTGAGATGGGAAGGAACTATATATTTGACAGGTTTAAAGTTCTAAATAAAAATTATGATTACTTGGTAGGTCCGGGAAAAAATAACAGCCCAAATATGGTCCAGGTTCAGATGAGGATGAAATGCTGAGATGGGGAAGAGCAATATTTTGGGTGTTAGAATAATAATCATTTGGTGGGGTAGGGGTAAAAAGGAAACCTCATGTTATCCGAGTCTGGGTACAGAAATGCTGAGATGGGGAACAATGCTTTTGGCAGGTCAGATGCTCAGAATAAAAGCTAAATGTATGTGGAAGGGCTTAGAAAAAAATAGAAACCACACATGGCCCAGGTTTGAGTAAAGAATAAATGCTGAGATGGATAGGAACAAAATATTTGTGTTGCGTTTGAAGCTTGGAATAAAAAAAGTCCACATGTGGTCCAGGTTTGGGTGAAGATAAAATGTGGAAATGGGAAGGAACGTCTTTTGGCAGGCTTGAAGCTCAGCATAAAAAGAGTGATTTTCTGTAGGACGGGAACAAAGCTCACTTTTTCCGTGTTTGAATACAGAAATTCTGAAGTGAAAAGAACAAAATACTTGTGGTACTTCTGAAACTCGGAATGAAAGTGATTTTTCGGTGGGGCAGGAAAAAGTAAAAGCCCACAATTGGCCTGGGTTTAGATAAGGAATTAATACTGAGATGGAAAGAAACTGTATTTTTAGAAGGTTTGAAGAAATAATTATTTTTGGTGGGGTGGGGAAAGATAAAAGCCCATCTACGTGGTCCAAATTTGGATAAAGATGAAATGCAGAGATGGGAAAGAACAAATTTTGGATGAAGGAATAAATGATGAGATGGGAAGGTAAAAAACATTTGTGGTGCGTCTGAAGCTTGGAATAAAAATCATTATGAAGTTGGACAAAAAAACCCAAGACACGTGCTCTCCATGTAGGTTTGGATACAGAAAAAAAATGCTGAGGAGGGAAGAATTAATATTTTTTGGCGGGTTGGGTGCTTGGGATAAAAAAACCCACAGTGGGGCAGAAGAAACAATAAAAGCCACACAACTTGTGGTCCAGGTTTGGATTGAAAACAAATGTTGACATTTTAGTGAGTTGGAGGGGCTGGGACAAAATAAAACCCCTCATGGTCCAGGTTTGGATAGAGAAACGGTGAGGTGGGAAGAGTTAGTATTTTCAAAGTTTGGGTGCTCCGAATAAAAAATTCGGAGGTGCAGGGAAAAAAGTAAAAACCCTCATGGTCCAGGTTTGGATAGAGCAATGCCGAGGCGGGAAGAATTAATATTTTTGCCAGGAAAACAAATGCCACACGTGGTCCACAGTTTCGATAAAGAAATGCCAAGGGGGGCTGTCAATCGGAAGATGCAACCAAAAGGTCTGCTGGAAAACTTCCATTTTCAATAAATGACCAGTCAATCAGCTGTCAATCTCTGGTTGAGGAAAGCTCCTCAGAGAATTTATTTGGAATACACTCCTGATTTTATTCTCTTAGTTAATTTTGGTTTTGGTCTGAAATATGAAGAGTGGCCTGTGAATTATTCTCATGAAAATGGGTCTTGCAGAAATTTCTTTTTTTGGCGGCGTTATTCATTGTCCGAATTATCGCCAAATACTGCTAGCTGCATTCGGATATTTCAGGATGAAAACCTTTCCATGAAAAAAATCTGTAAGGCACAAGGACTGTTGGATTGTTTCTGAAATGCGCAAAGGCGGGAATATTTTTTCTACTGAAGGTGCTTGGATTAAAAATCACACAAAAAAAGTGTGGTCAGTCAGGGCTGAAAATGTTTTTGCCCAGATTTCAATGAAAAATGCTGAAGTGGGCAGAGTAAACAGGCCTTGAATTTCATTTTTTTAGGGCACTGCCATTTGGCATTGGTAAACTGGCTGAAATAAAGGGCAGTAATGCCAAACATGAGGGCATTAATGCCATCCTAATTTTTTTATATCGCATGAAAATGTTTCAGGTCTAAGAAAATGTAAGATACGCACAGAGTGCGCTGTATTAGACCAAAAAAGTGCTCGGACAAAATGTAATAACACCATCAATTTTGGTCTGCCATTACCATCTTTTGATCTGTCATATTATGTGAAAGCTAGAGTTGTAACATGCAGTGTCAGGTGTCGAAATACACCTTTTTCCTGGTCCTTCCAGAACCGTAACATTTTTTTGTATGGGAGCAATTTTGTGCTGATTGAATGGCATCTGCAGGGAAGAAAGCTCCCAAAAGTATCTCAAACAGTGATGAACACCTGTCTTAATCTATGTAAATGTTTCTACATATGGCAATACACAAGAAAATTAAGAAAAATTCACACAATCACGACGGCAATCACGACGGCAAACCGGCCAACAATGTCCGTGTACATGTACTTCCTCATGCAGTAATCTGGTAATGGTGTAGGCTATCACGTGGTAATAAGCAGGTGTGATTCATCTAGACCAGCAGGTGTTAAAATGAGCAGAACAACCTCAAATTTAATAAGAGATTTAAATAAGAGACCAATTTCTGTGAATAAACTTGCAGAAAACCTCCTGCAACCATGCTGCAACATAACATCGATGTCTTTCTGGCCTGCAGCCGGCCTTTTTCATTTGCAACAAGTACAGCTGATGAAGAGTGTTTATGTAAAGTACATGCAGTACATGTACAGTATAGACTGGTACTGGTTGCTACATTTGCATGACGCATTCTTTTGCATGGGTGCAGCGCGGCGGGAACCAGAGCAGCTACATTTAATGCATAGAGTTTCGTGCACGTGTGGCGCGGTGTGGTCGAATGTGAGCAATCAAGGAACGATGTGTATGCCGCTTTCCGTATGCCTCCCTGAACAGGGGCAGTCACAATGCATGTGTAGGGCACTATGGCCAAGAGAAAAAAAGGGCACTGCCATCTTGGTGGTGAAATACAATCACTTTTGGGAGGCACCAAGGCCAAATGGGAGGGCAATCGAGGCCTGAGTAAATTCTTTATAAAGGCGATAATGTGGTCTGATGGGTGGAATACAACCTGGAATGAAAATAATGATGTGATTGGCAGGGCTCAAAATCCTACCCTAGTTCTAATCTGAAGAATGCTGACACCTGTAAACACTAACGTTTTTTCTTCAAGTTGGGTAGCCAGGTTGCATACATGTACACTGAATGAAAATAACGGTACGATTGATCGAGCAGCGCAGAAACCCCAAAGGCTCACCTCAATTAAACAAAAACCCTGCCTCAAAACTTTGTACGATGTGTATCTTTTTGGTTGATGAGAAGCTAGGCATTGTTTTGTGGAATGTAGTGCTGAACGGACGGTGCTCTACTTCAAAGAATTAAAAAGAAATATGTTACACAGAAGATTGGCCCAACTTTTAATTTTCCCTGCTGTTCGCTGTTTGCCAAGAATTTCATTTTCTAACCATGGACGGTTGTCAGTATGCCATTCCCATTTTGGGGACTTTGCACTTTCTTTACATACGTTTTGTGCCACTATGGGTGTCACAGACATCTTGCTGTGTGCACAGACCGTGACAGGCCTTTTGTTGTAGAGGAACACGAGGGAACAGGAGGGCTGCCCTCACGTGTGCCAACGGGGGAAGCTTAAAAAAAAGAATGCATTTCTGGCATTCGCATGCGTACGAATGGCCAATGTATTTTTTATTCTGCAACTTCATATTTAAAAAAATGATGATCATTTCGGGGTAATTAGACAGAGTTCCAACATTTTGTAGACATTTGCAATTGGTTAGCTACTGCTGCATATCAAAGGAAGTAGAACTCATAATTTTTTTAAGTCCAAATAATTGTACCAGATGAATTGAAACCAAACTTCTCTAAACAGAAAAATTCAGCACATTTTTCATCAAATGTAATTTAAAGCTCCTTGAGAAGACCTTGACAAAAATAAGCCATGAAAAAAATAGTACAAAACTGACAGAAAATTAATTCGGAAGATTTAGCCCTCTTTGTTGCCTTGTTTTAAATAACTCCAACTTATATCAGTGTTATAGCCAGGTACAATAGCTTTCAGCCACCCAAAAGTTTGACTGCATCAAAAATAGAAAATGAGTACGTTTGTTGTGAATGCCATATTTGGTGGAATTTTGATGACGTTCAAGAAATTTGACAGGAAAAGAATGATGTTCAAAAATCATCTGAAACACTGGGTTTTAAAGTCATTTCGCAAAACGCCACTTCACCCACAACCACTTTGCCCATATGCCCCGTCGCCCACGTGCCATATTGTACACACAATATTTTGCGATATTGCACGCCTTAATTTCACAAGTGAGTAGGCCTGTGACTAACCAACAAATCTCTACATCTTTTTAATAGATTTACTGCATGCAATATTTTGGATATAATAATCAAAACATCAAGACCCAGACACAGCATGTAAAATGGTTTCTCCCACTTAAACGCTCCCACTTAAACGTTTTCTATATTTAAAACCAATATTTTTCTTAATGAGTTTTTTAACTGAGAGGCTTTTTTTTGTGATGGGGTGGCAAGGAATGTTATGGCTTGCACTTCATCTGACTAAATGAAATAGAATCAATGCTGATGACAAAACTCACTCTTATGCAGGGGAAGCAGCAGAGTTTAGAGCAGTGGGGACAGAGGCGAGCATCTCGAAGCTTTTCCATACAGATGAAACATCTAAATACTTCTGCCAAACTCTGTCAAAATACAAAAATAGTAAACACTATACATGAATGATTAACAGGAAAGGAAAAATACCGAACTGTCAGCATACATGTACATGTATTTGCAGTGAGCATTTAGCACTACATAGGAAAGCTACACACATAGTACCATGCACATGAGCCTTTAATGAGCAAGGATGAGATTCTGAGAAAATAAAAAAGTCTGAAATTTGTCCGAGTTGTGGGATGCCAGCATGCGTGAAACGCAAACCCCAGAGAAAAGACGCGATGACGTCTAACCACAGCACAAGGCACTGAAAATGTACATAATACTGTGGTACAAGTCATTTACGAATTTTTGTTATTTCTAAGCAAATGGAGATATACATATTTTGACAAAAATATGAAAAGTGCAAGAGCAAGTTAATAAAAATGCAGTGAATAGGCCTAGATGTCCTTTTAAAAAAGTTACTGGCATGAATATCACTTTGTGTTCCATCTCCCTTGTTCCGTGATACTAAAATAGAAATGTGTTTGTGGATAAACACAACTGCTTCGGCCCTGGTTTCATTTATTGAAAACCAGTGATAATATTCTTGACAAACTACTTCCAAAATTTAATGACCAGTGCACACAGACGATACAGTACAAACATTGGTACACGTAAGTGGAATATTTAAAATCCATGTTATCTCGATATATGTCACGACTTGTCATATCATGATACCAACATAAGATGAAATCAACTTCCATCTTGACCCCCTCCCTTTCTAGCTATCTGCAAAGTTTCAACAAAATGGGACATGTACTTTGCGAGAATAAGTGCTTTTAAGAGTGCCACTTTAATGTCATGCGACTCGTCAGCTGATGACGTCATCATCACACCAGGTTAATTTGAGTCTAAAACCCTTCCCTTTCCAGCCATACACTAATTGTAAACCGAATCGGTCATGTGCTTTGCGAGATATAGTGCTTTTAAGACTGGCCCTTTAATGTCACATGATTTGTCATCTGATGAAGTCCTTATCATATCAGGTCAATTTGGGTCTGAAACCCTTCCCCTTCGAGCTGTACACAAAGTTTCAACCCAATCGGACATGTATTTCACAAGATAGAGCACTTTAAAGAGTGTCCTATTAATGTCACATGACTTGCCACCTGATGATGTCATTATCACGTCAGATACATTTGGGTCTAAAAATCCTTCCCCTTCAAACAAACTTTCAACCGAATCGGACATGGACAACACAAGATATAGCACTTTGAAGAGTGCCCTTTAACGTCATGTGACTTTCCACCTGATGATGTCATCATTTGGGTCTGAAACCCTTCCCTATCCAGCCATACACAATGTTTAAACCCAATCGGCCAAGTACTTAACGAGATATAGTGCTTTAAAGAGTGTCCCTCTAATGTCGCAACTTGTCACCCGATGATGTCACTTGTACAGGAAGCTTTTCTAGCTTGTGACCTTAGTGTGTGCCCCTAACACAAACTCAGTCATATCGATATCAGAGCAGAAGCAGTCTTTCTGTTGAAAAATGTGTACAAAACCTATATATATGAGGGAAAATTGATTTTGTTGTAGAACCATCCTTAATTGTCTGATGGTTTGCTAAGTATGAAGTCAATCAGATTTTTAAAAAACTACCCGGGTCAAGTAATACGATGATTTAGTAGAAAAATGCATAGAAAACTTATGGGAAAAATTCAATATTAAAAACTTAAAAATAAATCGTGTGAAGATGTCATCATGACAAATTTCTTCTAGGACCTAGCTGACATGATTATCTGAAGGTCTACCAAGTCTGAAATCAATCAGACAAACCCTATGGAGAAAAGTCGGAAAAAGGAAAAGAAAACGAGAAGTTCTGTGCCTGTCACAAGGACAGAACACAGGGCTATTTTGCCTTTTTGTTGTTCTGAAGAAAAGTGCGTTGTTGGCATATCATCCGAAGGAAGTGAAACACAGAAACAGAGTTGCCAGTCCACTCGGTTGGCCACCACCATGCTGAGTTTTATTTCCAATCCTTTCCTCAACAAGCACAACATTTTAATGCCTTAATAGGCAGAAACAGTGAACAAGGTCAACTAACTGCATGCAGTTTGGTTATAACTCAATAACCCAATGCACATATAATAAGCATCAAACTGTTACAACTCTTAACAAGGTTAAAGGTCACTTCGATAATTAGAATAAGTGATTAACTGTAAATCAATGCCTACAGGCCCATTCCTGGGGTATCCTAGTGGCAGGAATGCCACCAAACCGAGCGGGACCG